ATTATATTATTCGAAATTTAAAATAAAATAAAAATAATATTATTCAAATTTAAATTTAAAATATAAATTATAGTATTCGAAATTTAACATTAAATTTCAACTTAATATTCCAATTGTATTCGAAATTAAAAGTTATATTCCAATTATAGTTCACAATACTTAAATTGAAATTAAATTTATCCATACATATGATTTTATCATTAACATATATATTAAAACGTATACATTAAAATCAACTTATGTTGAGTTCATCGATCGACGGAATCAGCCAAGAGGGGGGTGAATTGGAAATTTATTCAATGTCACATTTCAATGCTCATTCCATACAATTTCAATGTCACAATCAACTTATCACTTCACATTTATTCAATTTATCCATAACATTTTATCTAATTTATTCAAACTTCACATAACGTTTTAATTTAAGTTATTCTTAACTTGCTGAACTTTCAAAAGAAGTTAAATTTTGGTTATAATTTACCTGATTTACTGATATATCTAGTGTCCCCGAGGGACATGAGTGACATAATAGGGCAATGATAACATATTCTCTGATGAAATAATGAAAGGCGCGCCCCCGGGAACGCGCCTTCATGTGAATAGTGAAATAATAGGTACTGATATATCTAGTGTCCCCGAGGGACATGAGTGACATAATAGGGCAATGATAACATATTCTCTGATGAAATAATGGAAGGCGCGCCCTCGGGAACGCGCCTTCATGTGAATAGTGAAATAATAGGTACTGATATATCTAGTGTCCCCGAGGGACATGAGTGACATAATAGGGCAATGATAACATATTCTCTGACAAAATAATGGAAGGCACGCCCCCGGGAACGCGCCTTCATGTCCCCTGAGAAATAATAGGTAATGATATATCTAGTGTCCCCGAGGGACATGAGTGACATAATAGGGCAATGATAACATATTCTCTGACGAAATAATGGAAGGCGCGCCCCCGGGAACGCGCCTTCATGTGAATAGTGAAATAACAGGTACTGATATATCTAGTGTCCCCGAGGGACATGAGTGACATAATAGGGCAATGATAACATATTCTCTGACAAAATAATGGAAGGCGCGCCCCCGGGAACTCGCCTTCATGTCCCCTGAGAAATAATAGGTAATGATATATCTAGTGTCCCCGAGGGACATCAGTGACATAATAGGGCAATGATAACATATTCTCTGACGAAATAATGGAAGGCGCGCCCCCGGGAACGCGCCTTCATGTGAATAGTACTCCGATTATAGACACTATTATATGCGACGTATTATAAACTTTCAAAACAAACTTCAGTTCACAATCTTTCAAATTCTCAAATTCCCAAACTCTAAATTCTCAAATTCTCTGAAAATGAGTCATCTTTATGCTGTTGTTTTGTATGATGGAGAAATTAAGGAAGCTGAAGAGGGTGTTGTTTTTGAGTCAGATCATTATATCCCCTTAACCTTGAAGAGAAACATCACAATTGAGGAGTTAATCACAAAAATTTCGTTAAAGATTCGTGTAGTAGGCCAGAGAAGACTATCTTCACTTCAGTACAGATTTCCTACTGAACTTTTTCTCTCACGTATACATCATTTCAGCTTTCAAACGATGATGATGTTTCTATGATGGTTGATGCTCATATGGGGAGTTCACAATCTCTTATTGAAATGTATGCCACTTTTATTGAGGTTCGTGCAACTCGTGGTCTCTCATATTCCTCTCACTTTGGCATTACATATCAAACTGATCAAGTTGATAGCCCGACACAACTGATCTGTAATGATTTCACATCATTAATGGCGGATCCAACGCCATATACCATGCCATCAAGTTTAATAGGAAGGCATTCATCTGCAACTGCTTATGATCTCAACCCACGTGGCTTCACCAATAATCCATATGGCAACATCTCTTCTACTTCAAGGGGTAGACATTCATCTGCCAATGTTTTCGACTTACATATGGAAATGCCAACGAGACGACAGTCTATTCACATCCCACATGATACAATGGCCTCAAGTTCAAGGGGAGGACACGCAAGCGGGAACTTATTTGACCTCAACATTGGATTATCGGAGGAACTCTCATCTCCACCAGAAGAACCTCTTCGGGAGCCAGGTGCAGATGGTGCTGAAACGGGATTATTCGTTGAACCTGACTCACCACAGTTTAACGTACATTTTGATGATGACGAGGATGACGTTCCGATAAATACAACACCAGCCGAACTTCCTGCACATATGTATGAGGCTGATTATGATGCAATGTATGAGCCTGAATTTCCAGATCTTCCTGATGTTGGCAACTATGGACTTCAATCTTCAGTCAATGACGGTAATTTACATATTGGAATGGAGTTCGCATCGAAGGAGGAAGCAATGATGGCAATAAAGAGTTACAATATTCATAACTCAGTTCAGTCCCGAGTTGATCGATCTAACACGGAGAAATATGTCTGCTACTGCGTCCAACGTCACAACGGATGTCAATGGATGGTCCGTGTATCAAAGAGGAAGAGGAAGAACAACTTATGGGAACTAGCCAGATACAACGGTCCTCATACATGTTGTGCAACAGGTATAAACCAGGATCATCCCAACTTGGACTCCAACATTATTTGTCAAGCAATCATGCCCATTGTGAAGCAAAGCTCTCATATAGCTGTTGCAGTGTTGATTTCTGCTATACAGTCACAATATGGGTACACTGTCTCATATAAAAAAGCGTGGTTGGCAAAACAGAATGCCATTTACAAACTTCATGGCGAATGGGATTCCTCTTACAACGAGCTGCCCAGTTGGTTTCATGTTGTGCAAAGACTTAATCCCGGGATAATTGTTGAGTTCGAAACTCAACATCATTACGTGAATGATCGAATGGTTCGCGATCGCTGCCAATTTTACCGAGTCTTTTGGACTTACCCTCAGTGTATTAATGCAGTCAAGTACTGTAAACCAATTGTCCAAAATTGATGGTACTTTCTTGTATGGGAAATACAAGCAAGTTTTATTATTGGCTGTGGTCCAAGATGGAAACCGCAATATTCTTCCTGTTGCGTTTTCCCTCGTTCAAGGAGAAGACACTGAGTCTTGGGCTTTTTTCCTTAAAAATTTACGTTTACATGTTGTCACCAGGGAACGACTATGCATTATTTCAGACCGAGGAGCCGGGATAAAAGCAGCAATGGACTCTTTGGGTACAATGTATAGACTTCCACATGTTCAACATCGTTATTGTGTCCGTCATATTGCTGCAAACTATTACGGAAAATACAAGAAGAACGATGAACGTCAGTTAGTCGTGCGGATGGGTATGTTACTTTTTCCCAATTTTTCTATCAATTTCTTATTACTTATTTATACTTCATATTAACTATTACATATTTCTAATGGCTTAGGTTACGAACTCTTACCTCAAAGGTTTGAGTCGATGCTACAAGAGCTGTTTGGCAAAAATAAGAAGGGGTGCGAGTACATTATGGACATCAGCAAAGAAATGTGGACAAATGCATATGACGGGGGGTATCGCTATGGTCATATGACAACAAACTTGGCTGAAGCAATAAATTCAACCTTAAAGGGGGCGCGTCATTTACCAATCACGGCGTTGGTTAAAACGACTTATTTTCATTTGGGTCAACTCTTTGCAAAGCTCGGTGGACAAGCTCTTACTTGGATGCAAAACAGACATATTTACCACCCAAGACTAGTAGTTGATTTACAGAAAAAAGTGGCTGCATCAAATGGGATGTTAGTTACAAATTTTTCTCGCACCCGTGAATTGTTTCGTGTAACCAAAATGCCACGCCCGCTGCAAGGGATTGAAGCTAACTCTTTCAGAGTTAATCTGCAAGAGAGGTGGTGCGATTGTGGTTTCTTTCAAGCACTCAAATATCCATGCTCTCATGTCATTGCTGCTTGCTCACATTCGCATTTGGACTACAAAAATTATGTTGATCCCGTATACCAACTTTCACAAGTATTCAAGGTATATGAATTTGAGTTTCCGCCCATAGGAAACGAAAGAGACCCAAATGAGATTCAAACTTGGCTTACAATTGTACCAGATCCATTGCTATTGAGGGACTCAGGTCGTCCAAAATCTACTAGAATACATTGTGATATGGATATTCGGGAGAAGTCAACAGAACAAAAACGATGTGGGCATTGTAGAAACATCGGGCACAATAGAAAAAAATGTCCAGCTCTGTTATCATCATATAACCGTTAACTCTTATGTAATTAATATTGTATTTAAATGAATGTTTTTGTTTCTAATAATTTAATGTTATTGCATTTATATAATTTGTCAATGTATGTACACCTAAATAATTTTTTTTAACTTTTAAATACATAAATATATTTAATATATTTATTTAATATAATAATTAATATTATTAGTTATAATTTTTTTTTAAATATAATAATAATTCAACCTTCTAAGTAGAGAAAAATATTAAATTAAACAAATTAAAAGTTATTAAAAAATTTATGTATACGATGACACATTTCATGTTCTGATTGGAGGATTAAATTTATTAAATTAAATTTTCAATAAGACTAATTTTATAAAATATGTAAGTCTTGAAGATTAAATATGTAATTATACTAATTTATTAACTTATGCATCAATATTTTCGTTAAATATTGATATGAGATGACTAGATTGATAACATTTAAATAATTAACTGATAAAATTAATAGATCGATAATCAAAATAAAAAATAATCGAAACTTGATAATTCTTACATTATAATCGAAACATTTTACATAATATATTATTAATTTATAATAATAATAAAAATAAACTATTTATTATAAAACAAAATACGTGTCTGCTGATATGGTAAAGGCGCGTCCCGGGGACGCGCCTTTACCAACTCAATAGAAAGGATGTTATTTCTGAAAATATTGATCAAACGGTATCAGAAAGGTAAAATTAAAAGCAAACGGTGTCTAATTTAGCCGAGAGAGAGAGAATTCAGTAGGAAATCACTGTGCTGATCTAGATTTTATGTTCAGTGCTCTGAAACCAAAGATCCCCAAATGCCCATTTCCTCGAGCATCTTCAAAATCCAAATTTAGCCCCGTTTCCACTCCTCTGATCATCGGTAAACCCATATGCTCAAAATCTTGATCTTTGGATCAAAACTCACCCCAGAAAGAGTTGCAATTGTTTCAAATATCTTGAAACACTGCTGTTATGGGAGCTGAAAAGAAATGGTTTTTCACTCTCTTCTCCACAACATTTCTCTCCCTTCTTCTCCTCTTACTTTACTCAATATCAGCTTTCAGTTCCCCAAGACCTTTCTTTTCACTCGTCCAACACGGACCTCATTATCCACCGGCATTTGGGTACTACATATTTGGTGGAAAAGGTGATAAAGATCGGATCTTTAGGCTACTTCTTGCTGTCTATCATCCTAGGAATCGGTACTTGTTGCAACTTGGAGCTGATGCTTCTGATGAGGAAAGGTATAGCTTGGCCCTGGCTTTGAAATCTGTACCTGCTATTAGGAGCTTTGGGAATGTGGATGTCATTGGGAAGCCTGATCAGTCTTCTTATATGGGTTCCACGCATATTGCTGCCACGTTGCACTCTGCTTCTGTTTTGATGAAGGTCGACAATGGCTGGGATTGGTTTATTGCTTTGAGTGCTTTGGATTATCCCTTGGTTACTCAAGACGGTAAGCAATTTCTTTTCGTTTGACCTTTTGTTTTGGATTTATGCTGTTCTCTTTTGTATGGGTTAGCAAGTAGAATTGAGGTTTTTGATTTGAAGAAAAAGTTTTGACTTTTGAGTTTACAAGCTCTTGATGTAGTTGAAATTACTTGAAATTTATATAAATTTACTTTGGTTTAATAAGAAATGGGACTTAAGATTTATGATTAAGGTGTTCGTTATGATCAATGGGATTGGTTTAGGATTCTATATTGGATTTAGGTTGCTGTTTGCTGAGAAATCAGTGTTATCAGTATTCATATTTGGCCTGAAGAGAGTTTTCTTTGAGTTATTCTGCCAAAGTTTGGTGCAAGTACATTGCAACAAACCGGCTTCAATTTCGAATGCTGTAAATAATTCCAGGAAAATTCTTGATTTTGATCATGTTTCTGGCTAGTTTATCGTTCCGTTTACATTATCATGAATCCAAAAAAAAATTTGTGCTGTTACTTCTTATCAAGGTTTTGGTTTGCTCATATGTAGGATTTAGTGCTGAACAAAGCATATGAGTTGAAGCATTGTATATTTTGGGGCATTTCTAATAATGCAGAAACAATGTTGTCAAGGGAGCGTGGCGTATTGTAGGCACTTAAACCCTTACATTGCCTCAGGCACTATGCGCGAAAAAGAAAGCGCTAGCCTGAGTGAAGTAATAAACTTAGGGTGTCAACTAAAGCGCTCTAAAATATGTCATGGATGATGGTTGACATATTTTTTAACTTGATGAGTGTCTTTAGTTGATTTCCTTTGATGGTTCAGGAGGTTTTGTCCTAGATTTCCCTTCTTTTGGTATAAATGTACAGAGTTTTGCTAAAACTTTTAGTTTAGTGCAACTGTGCAAGGAACTTTTGAACCTAATTCCTGCCGTATTTGTTTCATTGCTAGAGTCACTCGCTTATTTACAGATGGTCCAACACTCTGAATGTTTAGATTTCTAGGCCTGCTTTTGAGATGGTCAGTCATTGTTGGTTGGACATTAGTTTTACAATTTTCAGTCATTTTATATATGAAGCTGGATACTTAAGCTAATACACTTTTGCAGTTGGGCAGAAGGGCTATAATTTGCTTTTCTTGATAGAAATAACTGATATCTTTTCTTCGGCATACCTTTATTCGTAATTGAATCAACTCTTTCTTCTTTTGTTCTGTTTTATCTCAGATCTGTCACACGTATTCTCCTCGGTTAGGCGGGACCTCAATTTCCTTGATCATACTAGTGAGCTTGGGTGGAAAGAGTAGGCAAAACCCTTTTCATGAATCATATACGTCCTTCCTGTGCCAGTTATAATAAAAATCTTGTTCATGCCGGTTTACTTTCAATGCAGAGGTCAAAGGATCCAGCCTGTCGTAGTTGATCCAGCGATATACCTATCTAGAAGGACCCAGATTTTTCATGCTACCGAGAAACGACAAACGCCAGATGCCTTTAAAATATTCACAGGCAAAGTCTACTATCAATATCATTTCTGTCTGTTGCCACTCATGATATACATAAAAAATATATTTATGACTTGTTTTCTTTGGAGATGCTACTCATTTACATTTTGGTGTTGAATTCAGGTTCTCCATGGGTCGTCTTAAGCAGATCCTTTCTGGAATTTTGCATTCTCGGTTGGGACAATCTGCCTCGGACACTTCTGATGTATTTCAACAACGTTATGTTATCCGAAGAAAGCTATTTCCACTCCGTCATATGCAATTCCCCGGAGTTCAAGAACACCACTGTTAACAGTGATTTAAGATATATGATCTGGGACAATCCTCCAAAGATGGAACCCCACTTCCTCAATATTTCGGATTATGATCAAATGGCTCAAAGTGGAGCGGCATTCGCGAGACAGTTTAAAAAAGACGAACCTCTGTTGGGCATGGTTGACGAAAAAATCCTCAAGCGTAATGGGCGGAACCGAGTTTCCCCAGGGGCATGGTGCACCGGCCGGAATAGCTGGTGGTCGGATCCTTGCTCACAATGGGGAGATGTAAATGTCCTAAAGCCCGGACCTCAGGCGAAGAAGTTAGAAGAAACCATGACGAACCTCCTGGACGACTGGAGTTCACAGTCTAATCAATGCACATGAGGGAAGGAGCATGAAACTGAACTGAAAGGTGAATATTTTGGAGACACGGTGCCGTTCTCATTGCTTCTGAATTTCATCGAAAGTTTGAAAAATTACCATCAAACGAGATTCATCGTCGGGATGTCTGTAAGGCTATTTTCCAGAGGGGGGGTGGGTTCCTTGATTCACACAGGCTACGATTGTGAAGCGAGTTGAGTTTGGGAGGTTAAGGGGATAGTATTTAATGGTGAAAACCATACCAGAAGGTTCTTCAAATGAGGAAAGATGAACTCCCTTGTGAGCTGCCATTTGCATGCTGTTGTATGTTCTATACACATTTTACCTGTGACGTTGATGTTAGAAGACAACTTCATTCATTAAAAATTCCCGTACGACCTCATTACTGCATACGATTCGATTATATATACGGATACAAATTATTGATGAATACACTAACATACGACCTCATTAAAATATTGATGCCCAACTATTTCTCTCCATTATAATATGTGAAATCAGCTGCTTTCTCATCATTACTAAGGAAGCCATTATTGAACAAAAAAAATATGGTGGAAATCTATCCACGAGTACAGGGGGTGTGTGGGGGACTGGGGACAAGATAATTTACATATTATTTTGTGGAAGAGTGGCCTATTGACATCTAAAGTCATGTCACCCATCACATGTAATGCTTCAAAGAAAATAATATTAATATATCTTAATTAAATTAAATTGAAAAAGGGTTAAAAAGCAAAAGAATTAAAGAATTCTCATAAAACAGCACAAACTAAATGGTTAAGCGACACAAATCATGATCATACTTTAATATTTACGTAAACTCCATAATCAACTTGGTCCTATAAGTACACCCCACCAGTATCTCATATTTTGTTCCATGCCCAAAACAAAACACATTTTGACACCCCATTTCTCTTCTTCTCCAGTCTCCCTCTCTCAAAACAATGGGTGCCTTGGACTCTCTTTCTCACAATATTTCTGATCTGATAACTGTGCATGGCAAAAAGAGGAGGCGTAAAGTCATGCAGGTATTAATATATCCTTTCATTGTAATTTTTTTTTTATTTCGAGTCGATTATATATCTGTTTTAAGAACACATGGTGTTGATTTGCAGACAGTTGAGATCAAGGTTAAGATGGACTGTGATGGCTGTGAAAGGAGAGTAAAAAACGCTGTTTCCTCCATGAAAGGTGCAGTTTCAAACATCTCTTCCTCTCTTCACCTTATAAAAATGGTTCGAAACATGTGTGTATAGTTGTAAACTATAAGTTTCTCGGGAAACAAACAGAGTAGCAGTTGGAAAATATCTTCCTTTTACCCTAATGCATTTCTGATTCTCAATTTCTCACAAACCAAACACATCCTTAACCTCAAGTCATATGTTTTAGTCATAAACCAACTACACACATCATCTTCCCATTTCTTAAACATATATTTAAAGACTTTACCTCAAATTTATTCTTTTTCCGTTTTTTTAAAACTATTCGGAGTAATTTTTTTCTGTATCTTGTTTAGGAGTGAAATCTGTGGACGTGAACCGGAAGCAAAGCTGAGTGAGTGTCACCGGATACGTCGAGCCGAATAAGGTGATAAAGAAAGTGAAAAGCACAAGGAAAAGAACTGAGTTTTGGCCTTACGTCCCTTACAACTTAGTGGCGTACCCTTACGTTGCTCAAGCTTATGATAAGAAGGCGCCGTCCAGGTACGTCAAGAACGCCGTGCAAGCACTGCCGATTCCGAACGCCGTGGACGAGAAGTTTGTATCTATCGTTAGCGGCGAAAATCCAAACGCATGTTCCATCATGTTGAAGCTAATTTGACGGAGAAGAAAGTTAAAATGGTTATGGCCAAGGGCCTACTCGGATGGGGAGGGGACACAATTTGTTCTCTACACAAAGCATAATTAATTTGTGGAGAATTATTTAATAGAAAAATGAAGTAAAATTTAGGTTTCATACATGTGTATATTTAAATTTTATTTGTATTTTAAACCTTAATTTATTGCACTTAATTTGAAGGAAGAGTCGTAATTGATGATCTATAGTAGTTTTTATACAAAATTTAAGATCGTGTAGTCTTTCCAATCTTTAGAGAAAAATGGTTGAAGAAGAAGATTAAGAAGAAAAATAACATTTTTTTAGTCAGGCATAAATATTTTATAATGATTTTTTATGTCAATGGCAAATTTAGAGTTATAATAGTTACTCAAAATACGAACAAATTAAATAAATATAATTAATAATAAATTTAATATTAACATATTACATGAAATTTCCAATAATCATGTCCAACGTCATATAAAAAGAAAGTGGTTGATGAAAGATGGTTAGTCGAAGAGTATGAAAGCAAATCTAGAAGAGAACTCTTTTTGATTTGGAGACTTTGATTTTCAACGAAACTATACGTAAAGTACACATATGGTCCCTCGATTATAGGATATTATGTTGTTGAGTCTCTCGATTATTAAAAGTTATAAAATGGTCTCCGACTGTAGGGAGTTGCTTTGTTAAGTACCCCAACTATTAAAAGTTACAAAATGATCACTCGACTATTTATTATGTTCCAAACTTGTCCTTTTTCGTTAAAAAATTAACGGTTGTCCGATATGTACATTAACTTGCTGACTGAGATACGATAATCGTTTAAGATTATGAGATTAGATTTTATCATATCTTAGTCAGCATATTAACGTTCATCTCAGATTGTCGTCAATATTTTAACAGAAAATGATGAGTTTGGAACATAATGAATAGTCATGTGACCATTCTGTAACTTTTAATAGTCAATAGACTCAACAAAATAACTCCCTTTTAATAGTCTAAGAATTCAATAAAATAGTATCTTATAATCGGAAGACTATTTGTATACTTTACCTCGAAATTTTTTGTTAAATAAATCTGGAAAATATAATAACAAAACTCCAAACTTTAATCCATCTTTTATCTTTGATATTTTTAGAGGAATAAAACAATAAATAATGTTATGATTTTTTTCCTTACGTAACCAAAGACTATGTTGCATATTTAAATAAATATTATTTTATATATTAAATTATATGTTTGTAATTTAAAGTATGTATAAAATGACGTGTTGAGTGGAAAAAAATCTTCTAAAAGAGTTTATATAATTTTTCTTTTATTTTTAAATAAATAGGATCCAACAATACATGCACATATTAGTATTGTTTGTGGCATTTTTCTGAATATTTAAAGTAGTTTTGACAGTTTTGGACATTTCATTCAATCATCATCATGATTATTAGGGGAAATTCTTCTTCGTACACTCGTTTGTCTTCTTTATTTCTGCACGTGAAGACAATTTTACCCCTGTTGGGCAGTTGCTCCACTTTGTTGTGGCTATCACCTCCATCATTTTCTTTTTTCTAAAAGAAGTAAGCGATAAGCGAAGCTGAAGAAACCATCTCTTTCATGTCAGTTTTTTAGTAGAGCTCAAGTATACAAAGGACAAACCCACAAGCAAGAGCTCAAGTATACAAAGGACAAACCCACAAGCAAGAGCTCAAGTATACAAAGGACAAACCCACAAGCAAAACCAAAATCCCAGAGATCGAATCAAACAAAGAATCTCTAGCTGTAGATTACAACTACAGAAGACTGCATCCTTGTTTCAGTTCCTCCATTGGGTCTTTTTTACTTTTTCAAATCGTTGAGAACAAGTGTTGGTACTTGGGTTCAAAAGCAGAGGTGGAAGAAAAAAATATGACTAAAAATCAAGACTTTAAGCTACTCAAGATTCAGGTCTTTCTCTCTGCCCTTTTTCTTTATCATCAATCTCTTTGTAAAGTAATGGTTTTGTTTTCGTTTTTAATCCAGACCTGTGTTCTTAAAGTGAACATACACTGCGATGGGTGTAAGCAAAAAGTGAAGAAATTGCTTCAGAGAATTGAAGGTTCTCGCTCTTTCTTCCTTTTTTGTTTTGTTTTGTTTGGTTGCTAAGAAAATTCTCTGCTCGTAGTTCAAAGAATTAGAGATTACTAGGATATATGCTTCGGACACATTGCTAGGAAAACTTCACGTTGTCGAATCTGTTATTGTAATATTTCTGTTCGTTGTTTTCTTCTATTTCCCAGGTGTTTACCAAGTAAACATAGATGCAGAGCAGCAGAAAGTTATAGTCTCAGGAAGTGTAGATTCGGCAACATTGATCAAGAAACTGGTAAGAGCTGGTAAACATGCTGAGGTTTGGTCCCAGAAATCGAACCAAAAGCAAAACAACTGCATCAAAGACGACAAGACCAACAATAACAATGGCCAAAAACAGCTGCAGAACAAGTTTCCCACTTTCATTTCTGAGGAAGATGATGATTATGATGCAGAGAATGATCTCAAACCAAACAATGCAAAGAAAGGTGTTGGGAACATTAATGCAGCTTCCAGTGATTATGGTAAAATGAACAACAATGTTATAAGTGGGAATGGTGGGAAGAAAGGAAACCAGAATCAGAATACGGGAATGAAGGTGATGAACCCCGGTTTTCTTGATGAACAGAACTTGGCAGCTTTGAGGATGAACAATGCTCATCAGTTTGGTGGTTTAAACATAAATGCAACAAACGGCAACATGATGGGGCTTTCGGGTTTCCATGGAAATGGTGGAAGGTTTCAAATTCAATCCAACAATGGATTACAAGGGTCTTCTGCAACAAGTCAATATCCATCAACTCTGCTCATGAACACCAATGGTTTCAACAACTATCCATTATCATCAATGATGAACATGCATGCCATGCAGCAGCAGCAACAACAACAATCACAGATGATGCATCATAGATCACCTATTTTTCCACCTAGCACTTGTTATTACAACAATTATAACCCTCTTCCATACTCATTCCCTGAAGCCCCCCATTACAACTCAGGTGATGAAAACCCAGAGAGCAGCTGTTCAATAATGTAAGACAGAAATTTATTGTGTTTCGAGTGAATCGTTGATCTATGTATTTCTGTTTTTGTCGATGTATCGTGTTTCTGAAGATTATGTTGAAAATAGGAGTGGGGTTTTTTGAAATAGGTCCCTGCAACTTCTAAGAGGGACATAAATAAAGAAAGAGCTGGGTTGACAATTTTGTGTCACCTTTAGTCCTGAAAAAGTCTAGGCCACTTACGTTGCATGTGGCCGCGCCGGTGGCATTGGCAATTGGTCGATCGAGTGGTGGTGTACCTGTCACGTACGGGCTTAAGGCTAACAGATTAGGACCACCCACCATCTCACTATCATGTGCTGCCACTCGTCGGTCATCCCTTACCTGACCCTAAACTGCAATGCATTAACTAGGCTTTTTAGTATTGCAGCAAGCAATGATGTTGAAAAAAGCCTTGGTTGACTGATTTTGAACGCCTTTGAAATTTCTGCAGTTTTAATGAATATGTTGCATCCACTATGCACATACCAAAAAATTAATAACAAGTCATTTCGTCAATATAATTTAAACACGCGTCTAACATGATTTAGGGCGGTTTGTTTATTTTATAATGATTCAAAAGCTCTGTATGAATTAATTCTGAATGTGATATGCTATTTGATAATGGCTTTGAATCATTCAGAATGTACTTTTGTACTGAATCATTCAGCACTGTTTTGCTGAATCAATCAGCACTGAATCATTCAGAGGTGCGAAATAAACTCGCTGAACGGTTCAACATTCAATGCTGAATGGTTCCATTAAGAGGCAAACAAACAACCCCTTAGTATAATACAAATTTAAATTTTTATATTTTTTTGTTAATTTAGTTCTATTTTTAAATAGTTTAATAAAATTAATTCATCTAATTTTAAAAAATTTATTGATTTATTTTTTTTGACATTATCAAACCAAATAAGTTCATCGGTTCAAATAATTACATTATATAAAAAAATAACAATAAATTACTGATAAAAATCTTTCATCAATGAATACTACTCAATTATATGATTGAGTAATATTTACTTACACACGGATAAAACACATATTATTATTCCAAGCCCTCTTAGACGTATATTTTAATTTTAACAACTTAATGATTGGTTCCATAATAATATTTTAATTAAATAATTAAATTATATATATGTTAAAAAGATATAAATTTCGTAGGATATTATAAAATATGTTAAAAAGGCAGGTGACCTTGGAATGTTGCTCGTTTTAAGTTTAATTTATATTTTAAAAAAATTAATGATATATATAATGGTAATAAAAAAATATATATATAACAATTAAATAAAAGAAAAACTAAAAATGATATTACAGGCGAGGTTAAAAAGATATAGATTTCTTAGGATATTGATAGTAACAAACTTGACTGCCGTTCGGTACGCCAGAAGATTCCAATTCCAACTGATTTCTCTGTTGTCGTTAACTTTCGTTCCCTCTTTCCCCGCGAATCTTTCGGCGTTTGTTAGTGTTTAGCCTTCCAAATCAAATCCAATTATCGTTAATTAATCTCATCATTTTCTCCTCGAAATGCCGTTAATAAAATTTCTTCGATTCTTTTTCTTAAAAAAAATTATTGTCTAATCGTCTCTATCCGATCTGGCTTTCACGATGGCCGGGGGACTCGCCTCCTCCTCCGTACACGGAGGCCACGCTTCTCCTGCATTCTTGCTCCGCCTTGTCCTCGATATCGTCTCCGCTGGAACTGCTCACGCCAATGCCGTCTTTAAAAAAGATTGCACGAATCTAGTAAGGATGATAGCTGTCATCACGCATTTGCTCGAGGAAACCAAAGCTTTTCCTCTTCTGTTTCATGGTTGGTTGATCTGGAGGAGGCTCTCCAGGCTGCTCAACGTCTCTTGTCCGTCGCCTCCGCCCACCATTCCGATAATTACTCCGTAAAGTCCCATCTCCTATGCTTTTTTTTTAAGTCACATAAACTACGACTACACCCCCGTGAAATTAATATACATCTTTAAAAAAAACTATGATTAAAACTTATTATGAAAACTGCATTCTATATATATGCCCATCTTATCTCAATATGTTATGTTGTTGCTATATATATATATATATATTTGAATTTTCTTGTATCTTGATTTAAGGATGAAGCTGCCAAAAGAATTGCATCTCAATTTCAATGTGTTACATGCAAGTTGGAGACAACTTTAGGGAAAATCCCATATGATCAGTTTCATATCTCAGAGGAGGTTCAAGAACAGGTTTAACTCCTGAATTTATGTGTTTTCTTCACTCCCCCATATATCTGCCCTCTTTAACATCAGCTTCGATTCTTTTTCCAGGTAGAAAAGGTGAGAGCCCAACTGAGACGAGCTGCAGAAAGATATAGGTCTTTGGATTTGCCAAAATGTTTCAATGCTGAGTCCCAGATACTGGAAAAAGAATGTGCTGGTACCACCCATGAAACTTCTGCAAAGCTTGATGACATTTCAGACAACTGTGGTACTTTACGACATGTTGCGGATAAGGTGACTAAGATATTGGAAAGGGTGACAAGCTCTTCGAGCAATTCGGCCTCTTCGACGTCTTCTGATGTCTGCCTATCGAAGGAACTGGATTCCAAGAGGCAAGAGAATGTTGCTTCCAAGGGTTTCAAAGAAACCAAGAGGCTTGATGCACTAGTAATTCCTGATGATTTTCTATGCCCTATATCATTGGAACTAATGAGGGATCCGGTGGTCGTTGCTACCGGGCAGGTATAGTGTTCCACCGTAACTACTGCTTATAGTTTCTTTTTACGCAGTCAATCTTTGATTTCTAGCAATCTCTTTTCATCCAAGCTTCTTCATTTTTCAGACATATGAGAGATCGTACATACAGGGATGGATAGATTGCGGCAATGCAACATGTCCAAAAACTCGGCAGAAGTTGGAAGATACAACTCTAACCCCTAATTATGTTCTGAGAAGTCTGATAAATCAATGGTGTGCTGAACATAATATTGAGCGGTCGAGTAGAATAGTGAATGGTAGGCTCAAAATGAGTGATGGATCTTTCCATGATGTTAGCTGTGACATGGCAGCCATCAAGGCTCTGATCTGTAAGCTTTCGAGTCCAAACATAGTAGAACGTAAGGCTGCGGTTGCTGAAATCCGATCACTGTCTAAAAGCAGCATGGATAATAGGATACTAATTGCAGATGCAGGAGCAATACCTGTTTTGGTTAACCTTTTAAAAACAGCTGATGTTTCATTACAAGAACACGCAGTAACTTCTATTCTTAACCTTTCCATATTTGACAACAAGTCTCTGATAATGCTTGCCGGTGCCCTTCCTCCGATCGTCCACGTCCTCGAAGCCGGAAGTGTCGAAGCAAGAGAGAACGCAGCAGCAACCCTTTTTAGCTTGTCACTTGTAGATGATAACAAACTAATTATCGGTTCATCGGGGGCAATACCGGCTTTGGTAGATTTGTTACAACATGGGAGAACTAGGGGGAAGAAAGGTGCTGCAATCTCTCTGTTCAGTCTCTGTCTTTATCAGGTGAACAAAGGCAGGGCTGTCAAAGCTGGAATCATAGCAGTGCTTCTGAAGATGCTGTCGGATGCAAGAAACGGCATGGTTGATGAGGCTCTAACGATACTATCGGTTCTTGCCAGCAATCATGAGGCTAAGTCAGCCATTGTAAAGGCTGAGATCATACCAGTTTTGGTCGATTTTCTAAGAACAGGCTCGCCCAAAACCAAAGAGAATGCAGCTGCCACTTTACTTCCTCTGTGTATGAGAGATACCAAGAATCTTGCCTGCATAATTCGGCTAGGTGCTGATATACCATTGACACAGCTTACAAATTTGGCACGGAGGGGGCCAAGCGGAAGGCTACATCATTGTTGGAGTACCTTCGCAAATGACAGCAGCTTTGACTGTTTTGTTGTATATACATACATACATACCTATATTATATATATGTATATGTATATATATATATATATAACTGTTTGAGAATTGAGGAATGAGCATAACATGCACACATTCTGGTTGCTGTGTAAAAAAAAAAAATTCATTTGTTCTCTTAATTAATGGAGAGCTATCCATTTGATTGCTTGCTGGTGGTGCTGAGAAACACTAACCATTAATAGCTTGAATCACGTGGAATATAATTTTAATTTAAGTTTAAATATTAAAAAATAAAAAAGATAATTTAAAGTTTATAATTTGCTTAGGGTTATGTTTTCTGTTTGCATTATTAAACAAAATGGTGAGTTTTTGTAGTAATTAATATTTCAATGGATAAAGAAAAATATGAATGCAGGAAGTTGTCGAGTTCAAGCAAATCCACGTGCTTTCCAGCTTTGGATAAGCCCATCATCAGAATCATTAGACGGTCCATGTCATAGATTCACTGCAAAAATACATGGATAATATTTTTAATATATTTGTTATTTAAAGATAATAGAAGAACCAAACATTTCTATGAATTTTTAAACTTTTAATTAAATAACATTGAATGATTTAAAGTTATTAAACAAAACCTAGTTGACTAAATCATGTCGGAATAGTTTTAAAATAAAAAAAATTTGATTTTGATCAAGTGAAATATATAATAATATATTTATTTTTAGAAAATTTTAAACTTATCTAATGGTTTTGATAATGTGTCTTATTAAAGTAGTATCTACTCGAAAAATATTCAATCATTTGATAATAAACGTTTGAATACCTTTGCAGATGTTATATTCGAATTCAAAATCTCTATAAATAATAATCATCTTTTAATCACTTAAATCATTTAATTAGTATTTATAATTGAGAGTTAATTTATAAAAATAAAATAGAATTCATTGTCTCTTAACGAGAACACAGACGATGAAAAGATTAATCACAATTACCATAATAAATTATATAAATAAATTTTACAAATCAGACCTAACACAATTAATTGATGAACACCATAATAAAAAAACACATTGACATGGCATGAAACAAATAAGACACACATAGGTACCCCGCAGAGAAGAAATTCAGTTTGCTTTGTATTGAAATGACAAGAAAAGAAGACCAGAAGAATCGAGGCGGCTAGCAGCCACTTTCATTTAGTTTTCTTCCCAAAACTTCAGAGCACATCTGCCCCATCATGTGGTAGAACGACATGAGATCAGACAACTGCTCATCACGTTTCTTCCCAATTCTCCCCTTGCTCGATTTAATCCCATTTTCTCTATGTAATGGCTCCCGTTTCTCACTGTTGCTCCCATCTGCTTCAGCCTGTTCTCTTGTTGTAGGCTGAGAGCTGTGGTTCTCCTTTTGTTCTCCACTTCTTTGTTAAGCTTCAGTTGCTTCGGCAATGATGTTGAGCTATGGAGTTTCTTCTGGTAAGCAATTACAGCCCTCACAAATTCCTGCACAGATTGTCACTAGAATCAGAAACTATCTTCAATAAATTCCCAGGGATGAAGATGATGATGAGTTGCGGGCAAACCTGATAAATATATGAGCATCCTGCATAATCAAATTCTTCGGAATAAGGTCGTCTCATTCTCTCTGGATGGAATTGAAGTCCTATTATAAATTTACCCTCGTCTGGACTATAAGCATCCGAATCATAGAACCCTTCGATCAAGCCATCCGGTGCTAAAGCCATCGGCACAAATCGTTGAGCCAGTCTCTTTACACCTTGATGATGATAACTATTGACCGATATTTCCATTCCCCCTTCTAAAGAATCCTTGAACCAGCTTTGGAAAGGAGTGTTCTCCACCACTTTAACCGAATGTCTATGGCCATCGTAATTGTCATAATCCATGTGCACTACTCTTTGATTTTCCGGCAATTTTTCCGTCAATTCTGTTCCGATATCTCGATAAAGTGTACCTCCGGAAACCACGTTCAGAATCTGTGAACCCCTGCAGATTCCTAGATACGGACTGTTCCTTTCAAGACAAAGCCTCGCCAGTTTTAACTCGATTGAATCTTTCTCTTTATCAATGGCGGTATCACTTGCATGCAGTCTCTTGATTTCTTCAACTTCTTCGAGCGAAAGATTTGACGTATCATCTTCATATAAAGATGAATCGATATCTTCGCCTTCACAAAGAAGAACACCGTGGATTGGCTCGAAACTATCTAATAAATTATGAACCCCACGAACTCGTGCACGATCACCGGAACTGCATCGTACGTGACTATAAGATCAAGATGATATTCACCTGAGATTTTCCACACCCAAAATTCCATTACAAAAAAGAAGAAAAAAATTACCAGTTGGATATATATGAAAACCTACCAACAAAATCTACAAATTTGATCTTGCGAACGCTACGTCTGGAGACGATAAGAACACGGGGGAGGGTGACGGGAAGATCATCGTTGAGAGCCATATGAATATACAAAGACTGAATGTATGAGTGAACTCGGTGATGTATATATAGGGAAGGATGAAGGATTTCATTCGAAGATTTGGTTGAATCCAATGGGAAAATTGGAGAGATATATATAAGAGGTGAGCGGAGTCCTACCGCCGCGTGCTACCCAGAATAATATGCTTATAATATTATATTAATTATGAATACACCAGATATCTCCATAAGTATGATTATTTAATTCTGAAATCATTAAATTGGAGTTAAAATTAAACGATTATAATAAATTATATAAAATACCAGATGAATTAATATATATATATATATATAGAAATATTGTAAAATAATTGAAAATATGACAACAATATTTACCCAATATTTATTATTAACGTGTATTATTTTTCCTCCTTTACCGTTCATGGACAACAGTTGTAGAAGAATTATTTTAATAGAACGTGTATTAACGTGTATTACCTAATATTTGTTTATTTATTAAATGAATAATTATGAACAAGTTTTTTTATTTATTTAATTAAATAAATGAACACAGACAAAGAGCTCATTCATTCATTTAAGTTCGTGAACATTCAGTTTAAGATTTAGGGGTCCGCTGATTACAATCATGCCTTGATTCTGTCCAAGAAAAATCATCCTTAAAATTAAAACAATTGGTTGGTTAAGTGTGTTGTCCACTTCTTCAATGACCCTGTTTTGTCTTAATTATTGTGATTAGCGTTTTGCTAATCCACTTGATAGTGAAATGACAAAACAGTGGGTGGGAAAAAAGGATAGAAGGGGGACAACGGAGAAGGTTGCTTCTCATTCTCTCTATGCTCCTAACGTATTATTATACAAAGGCCACGCACTATTCAAATGCAGGTGGCATCATGTGATAAGCCTAATTAAAGTGGCATTATGCTATAATCCAAATAAACTTAAATATGGTGTGATAGTTAAAATCCAATATGTTGATTAATAGCTCCACGTGTTGCACAAATTACAAGCTGGATGATTCTCTCCCGAGGGATCCCTGTGAGAAGGGTCTTCTAGAACTACTCGAATTAGACTAAGGTATCAAACACAGATAAAAGTTGCAACAATGCACGTAGGTATCGGTTAACTAAACACTTACAGGACATATCTTGGGTGGTAAGGGACACAAACTTTCAAGCATAAAGGAGCCAAGTCTATTCAGCTGTTCGAGTAATTAAAATAACTACAATGAGGATTACACTATCAACAATCTAGCATTGGCTTGTCATTTCTCTCCTGCTTCATGAATATATGAATTTCAATCAAAACAAACACGGTTGATCTTCCAGGAACAGTTTAATTCAATATGCATTGAAGGCGGAAATAAATTATTCGAATTGAGGATACCTCTGTTAGCTTGGCTGAATTCGGTAGAACAATGGATGAGGATTGAGACGCCGTAGCAGATATTTTTCAGGAAGGCATAACTGCACAGCGACCGATCCCAGAACTACCTGCCATTCCAGCATTTTTCATGTTCTTTGTCACTAGCTCACTGTTATTTCTCCTGCCTCCCACTTTTGGTCTGCCACCAAACTTATGATCTTTAACGACCTTATTGCTTTCTGACATCCGATGCTTTTGCAAATTACTGTTTTCTTTCTTTTGTTCTTTCTTCGAAGGGATCTTATTTTGGGTCACAGGTTCAGCAGAGCTGTGACTATCAGTTGGTGGAGCCGGTGATACGGTGCCTGTAGGACAAATCAACTCACCTACAGATCCAGCGGCAGAGAGGGCTTGTTTATTTGTTTCCCTAGAGCGTGATGGTGATCTTGGAATTGCTCTTATCCCAGAATTTGGTGACTTCTGCCCTACTTTAGCTGATTTCATGGTAGATGTTGCAGCCTGAGACATAAAATTGAAGCAAGTCGGTGCCTAAATCTATCGACAAAACATAAAATTACCATAGCACAATGAATCACCGGAAAGATCAGGATTTCATTAAGTTAATACCTTATTATTAAGGATAACAGTAATAAACTGTATGTTCTTAAGCTTTGAAGTTCCACCTTTAATTGTGATGGAGTTAAAAAAATGGCTATCAGCATACAGAATAATAATCCAAGCTAGAGATGGACTCATAAGTGTATGCTTTTCTATGATGTAAACTAATCACATCTGAATACATATGAGTTGCATTATAAAATCAAGAATTGGCAGTCTAATTTACCTTGTTTCCAGTAGATCCTGAAGTAGTGGAAACATGATAGAAAGAAGGCATCGGTTTTGCTTTGAAATTAAGGCTTTTCCGCAATTGCTTAATCTCCGCCTTTGTCTTTTCCTGCAATAACAATGAACAAAGCATGCAATTTATTTATAGATTAAGAAACCCATTAATCCAGAAATATCATAGTGGCATGCAATAACAATGAATAAAGCATGCCAATAAGAAACTAGGAAGGAAGCACGAAGTAAAAAACCAATTTATCTTCTTAAAATAGTAAAAATTCTGAATATTGTATGCTTTCCGTACCTGTGCTCTTGCTTGAATCTGATTCATCTCTGACTCTTTGGCATGCATTTTCTCTTCTAATTTCGTAAAGAACTGAAACCATTGCATGACAAAAAGAACAGAGGATGAGATTATAAGTACATATCATAAACTAAAGAATGAAAAAAGATTGAGAATGACAACATGATTTCTTGCCTCTTTTCTCTTTTCTGCTCGTTCTCCACTTTTGAAGTGGAATCCTCCGGCAGTTGACTTTGCATCTTCCCCAGTTGAAATGGCTGCCTGCTTAATCCTACATAAAAGAATTGTCCACGTTAAAGTTTAAAATCCAAAGTTTGATGGCACAAAGCAATTGCCGTGATGATGCTACACACCTGTTCGGTGTCTGATGAATTACAGGTTCAATCTTCTTGTATGAAAAAGGTTGAGCTTCAATTACTTTCTTAGTCATTGGTCCTTTTCCACTTTCATCAAATGAAAGTCATTTAAAATTCCTTACAAACGAAACATATATATTCTTAAAATGCAAGCAATACTAACTATTAAGCACCTTTTATTCTCAACGTTTGATTTTGCATTGAATCTTGCTCTTGCAGAATCCTGGACAAGAAAGACCAAAGAAAATGAAATACAAATAGCAGCATGAAGTCATACTAAAAATGTTAAATACAAATAAAATAGAACAGATGTTGCATTTTCTTATCTTTTAAGCTTCAGGTCAAAGTCCAAATTTTCACCTCTTGTTTTGGAGATTTGTGCATTGAACGTCGAGTTGGGAAGGCCGTTTGTAATGGTAGTTTCTGTGGTTTTGTTCTCTTTGTAATCTCTTTTTCTTTTCTTTCTTGAACCCTTACTACTTCCATAGAAGGATCACAAAATGTTTTTTTCTGGGAATGATTAGGACTCACCGGAGACTTCAAACTTGGTTTGGTAGCTTTATTTTCAATAGCAGACTTCAACTAGAATCAAAAAAAGAAAATTAACGAGTACAGTAGGTAAATTATAAGGACGAGTTTGAGCATGCATATTAATATACAGAAAGAAGTGATAAAAGGAAATGCAGCCATCACAATTGAAAACAAATTGAAATCAAGGTTCTATCTACTGCATGACTGTTACCTTTCACAATTTTGATTTTGGTAATTTTAATAAGATAGTAATTTGTTTCGACCAAGAGAAATATACATATAAGCCATACCTTTGGAGAATGATTTTGCTGAATTTCAGAAATAGTAGTATCAACTTCTCGGGTGGTTCCAGTATTGAGGGATTGATCCAAGGACTCAAATGATTCATCAATGTTATCTGCATCATCATCATCATCAAGGTTTTCTTCTACTTCTTTCTCTTGATTATCATTGCTTATAAACGATTTAGCGCATCCACTATGACTTTCAGAAGTTTCCTCAGGTTCAAAATCAATAGGGACTGAAACATGAGTCTGATGAGCAGATAAAAGTCCAGGGCTTCCTATTTCAGATTCAGTCAATGCACCCTCACCAAGATATTCTGAATTGTCTGGACTCATGTCAAATTGTGCACAGAGGCTACTTTCATTTGAATGATCAAAATGGTTCCCTTCATTTTCATGATGAAATAAGCTCCCTTCATTTCCACAATAAAAAATTTCCCCATAACCTGTACTGCTTAAACCATTCTCATCAAGATGATTGTAATGGCTACCTTTACTTACACTATCAGCATCATTCTCCCCAGTTTGATATTCACCATAATCATCATTCTCCATAGCATCACTCTCGCAGTTTTGATATTCTCCTCCATTTTGGCCCTCAGATGATGAACTTTGAAGAAGTGCCTTCTTCCTGAAGTGAGCTTCAAAATAAGCTTTCTTCTCAATAACTGAACCTGGTTTTGAGCATTTCTCAACCTCTTCAAGATATCTATTGTGTGAGAAAGAGGATTTCCTTTCCCAAGCTAGGGGTTCATTTGCAAATCTACCAAATGATATAGAACCACAATGCACAGATTCTGCCTGTCCAGTTCAAAAAGGATGGAGTTAAATACATTAAATTGATGGAAATCACCAGCTGAAGTATAAAGTAAATTGTATTATCCGAGCCAATTCACTGATAGGAAACTCATGAAAGAGTATCAGGGCTTGAAATGCAAGTGGGACTTGGGAAGAACTTGGGATACTGTAAGCTACTACAGTTAATGGCAGTCTTCTATAGACTCTCAACATTCAGAAATAATATAGTAGAACTTTCTAATGGCACAAAACTGGTGCCATAGCCAATTTGACATATAAAACAGAATTAACAGATATAATAGAAAAAAGTTATTTGTTAGTGTTGAAACTAGTGGTAAAATATATACAATGCCTTAAAGATAACAAGCAGTTAATCATCTAAATAGGCAACTTCATCTTCTCTACATTCTGCCTTTAGCTCCTCCAGGTTACTTCCCAATAAACTCAATATTCTCTTTTTTTAATGAGCGTGGAGTTGAAAATTAATGTCTAGTACCCATAAGTTTAAATGGTAACTATGAAATAATGTTACCCCTATAAACGAGAAAACTAATATGTTGCGTGTATACCATACTCAACATAGAATCCAGGTAACATAGAAGATAATAATTCTAGTCATAAAACAACCTAAATTAATTACTGGAACTCTTCATTTTTTTTTATCTAAACTACCTATATTTAGAGAACAATCGTCAATACAGGTAAAAGCTAATTTAAAAAAGGAAGCATACTTGTGTTGGACTCATATCTTATCCAACACTCAACCTAGTGTTCAAGTACCATATAGAATAACAATTCTGATCATAAGACAGCCTACATTACTCGTATTCTTTACTTTTATTTTTTGAAATCATCCATATTGAACAGTTATAACTATACATATCAGAACATAGCAACTATGGTGCCAAGGCAGATCGATGTGCTACATGGAAAGAATTTATAGCGATTTACCAGTTCATACAATAACTTATAGTTGTAAATGTAAAAGAAAACTAGTAGTAGCCGGCCTTGACTCCATATCATAAATCAAAAACGCTAGAAACTTATTAAACCAAACAGATAATGAAATGATCTCAAAAACAGAGGAAGGCGTTCAGTAAATCTTGTGAACATTTTTATACATCAAATTAATGTTGAAAAAAAAAGGAAATGGTGATCATCACCAAACTACAACAAATCAACCAATGGACTAACAGAAACTCCAAATAACAAGTAAAACTGATTTAAGAAGCTTAAACTTCAATCATCAAACGAAAAAACAGATAAAACATTTATTATGTAGAAAATAGATTGAGAGAGAGATGATACAAAAGAAAATACCAGTAAACTAAAGCTGAAAGGCTCTTCAAACTCTCCGGCCATTTGCAACGAAAATCAAGCTCGAAACAGAAAATACTTCAAAAATCAATATTCAGCGCCGACATGCTTAACTCTTATCAAACGAATCAAATCAATCAAATTCACAAACACACACATTTCTTCTTTAAAAAAAACGTCGACAGTAATTAACGAATCTTAACAGAAACGTGCTTTGTGAGTATCACTACAGTTAAAAAAATGCCGAAACCAAAGCTCCAAGATGTCTTTCGCTTTTGCTTTTCAGAAAATAAAAATAATAAAATAGCTTGTTTTGTACAGTGGAAGCGTAAAATAGATTGGGAACGTAACGAGTATTTAGAAAGTTTAGATCGAAATCAAAAACTTTGTTTTTTTTTCATTTAAAATAATAGTTTAATCATGTGGGGGGTTTGCTCGTCTTTCTTGTCTTGATCGCATTTGATCACCGCAGTTTAATATCGACGGTTCTGATTTGAGATCCGAGAGAGATGATTGTGATCAGGACAAGTGTCGGATTTAGACGAACAGGGTTTCTAAAATGGACTGATGTGTAGGGGAATGAACCACGTGTCGACTTCCCTAGTCTGTTTGAGCGTTGAATTTTGTAATTTTTGTTTACTAGTTATTCAATTGTGATTGGATTTAATTTTCAAAATCATTTATCAAAGTTAAAAATATAAAATAATCATCTAATTTTAATTCATCTAATATTTATTATTATTATTGATATTGGACGCTCACATCCTGAGACCTCAACAATTAACGTGATGACATAAATCATACATCAATTTATATGATGATGTAACAAAGATCTAAAATATTTTTTTATTTTTTCTTATATTGATGCTCAAAATGAAACTAATTTGGAGGGATATATAAATCTTATAATTTGTGTATTTTTTAATCTAAACTTTAAAACATTTTAATTTTAAGCATTAAACTTTATGATAGTTGTTGGCAGTCAAATATCGTCGGCCATCGATTGGTATTTATAACAAAATTAATACTAAAATATTCACATTTCACTCATCTTTTTTCTTCCTCAAATTTATTTTTCATGAAATTCGCTCAAAATCAACGAAATTTCATTTAAAGGTTCAATACTTCGATCTCTTCTAATGACTGTCTGATGATACAAATTTTGAGATATGTTATTCATCTTCTTAAAATAATATTTATCATCGTTTGAATTTTAAACAAACAACCTAAATCCCCAAAATGATAGATTTTTTATTTAATTTTGTGAGTTTTAAAGATGTATTAAAAATATATATAAATCGATAAAGTGATTGTGGACAATTTAACGATTTCATTGGTGAGTAGAGTGATCATGCGAAAGAATTATAGTTTTCCGATGAAGCTAAAAGTAGGTGAAAACTCCTAACTTTAATGAAGAAGATGATGAGATGAAATTTTAAAAAATAGTTTAATATAATCGTATCAATTTAAAATTTAATGATAAAATTAATACAATCACTAAAATTTAATGATAAAATAACTTTAGTGATCGAAAATGTCTTATAATATACGATTTTAATTAAAATTTTTTGGAAAAATTTAATGATAAAATAACTTTAGTGATCGAAAATGTCTTATAATATACGATTTTAATTAAAATTTTTTGGATTTGTGAAAATGACTGACAAATTCGCAACGCGAACTCCAATTTCGCAACACAGTTTTCAAATACGCAACGCGAATATATAAATCGCAACGCGAATTTATAAATACAGTTTCTAAATTCGCAACGAGAATTTCACAAATTCGTAACTTAGTTTCGAAAATTCGCGTTGCGATAGTTGTGTTTACCTATATAGGTAATTAGCGTTGCGAATAAATCGCATTGCGATAGTACTGTTTACATTGCGATAGTACTGTTTACATTGCGATAATATTGTTTACATTGCGATAGTACTATTTACCTATATCGGTAATTAGCGTCGCGAATTTGAAAATCGTATTGCGATAGTACTGTTTACATTGCGATAGTATTGTTTACATTGAGATAGTATTGTTTACCTATATCGGTAATTAGCGTTGCGAACTTGAAAATCGCATTGCGATAGTATTGTTTACCTATATCGGTAATTATCGTTGCGAAATAAAAAACCGTGTTGCGATTTAGAAAATCTTGTTGCGAAAAGGAAACTTGTGTTATAAAAAATAAATTCGCATTGCGAATTTGAAATTCCGTGTTGCGAATTTGACTTCTGTGTTGCGATTTACAAATTCGCGTTGCGATTTACATATTATCGTTACAAATTTGGAAAATCTCGTTGCGATTTTAGAACATGTGTTACGAAATTGGAATTCGCGTTGCGAATTTATTGGTCATTTTCGCAAATCCAAATTTTTTTTGTTAAAATCGTATATTATAATGTATTTTCGGTCACTGAAATTATTTTCTCAAATTTAATAATATCTATAACTATTTATTCTAAATATAAATAATAAAATAAACCCAAGATGTACTAATAACAGAACGCATTGGCCAAAAAAAATGTTAATTAGGTTGGTCAATACAACTTACAAGAGCCAAAGTATATATTTGATATTGATCATCTCATCCACAATGTAGGGTCCAATAACTTTTGAAGAAATGATGTAGAAAAAGGTTATGCTATGATGCGATGATTAGTAGCCGTTAGATGATCGTAAAAAGCCATGACTAAGTACAAATCAAGGCCTTGCACGTGCATGGACCAAGTATGTCGTTGCAGTCGGCGCCAACGGGTCACCTACATTCAATTATTTATTTATTTATTTTTCAGGTTTCACATTCATTTATGGGTAATATACACAAATGATCACTATATTATATTAAAAATAATTTTTAATAATAAAAGTTTTAAATTTTATAAAATAGTAATTAAAAGTTATTAACTTGTTACAAAATAATCTTTAAATTTATCAAAATTCATTACTATTTTATAATATTCAGTAACCATTTTATAATAATTTGATAAATTTAATGATCATTTTGTAACTTTTAAAATTTCAATGATTAAAAAAATTATTTCAGTATAGTTTAGTGACTATGTATGTACTTTACCCTTTATTTTTCAGATTATTTTCTCTACAAATCTAGGCTTCTAGTTGCATCTCCACCCTACACGTCATGTCCAGTGCAATAGATCTTAATCGAATTATTTTATTTTTTTCAATTCTGAAATCAATTGCATAGGACACTTGGTGATAGATGCCATAAGCATGTGATGTGAGACTCCTTGATTAATGGTCCCAAATAGAACATTTTTCGTGACAGATCCACATCATAGAGAAGTGCATCCATCCATGCCATGGTTTACACCATTGACTTTCCTTGAAGAAAATTGGTCATATTATTATAATATATAGGTGCGACTTATTAAAGAATGTCACATTGAAGCACCGGCAAATGAGAAGGCATTGATTAAAAGGCAGGCTTAGCTAGGCATGTGTGGTGTGTGGGCAATGCATATAATTCATGTGATAGAGTTCCATGTGTTCTGGTCTATCTGAACAAACACGTGAAAAGGAGAGAGATAGAGTGTGTCCAAAATATATGTACTTCAATTTCAATACGGATAATGAATGAATTCGAATTTTATGTTTCAATTAGAATATTGATTATAAACATTGTTAACTGTAGGATAAGGTGATCGTTATTTTTCTGTCAAAATTTATAAGCTCCTTTGCTCCTTTGTATTCGTTATAGGTTGTGATTTACAATAAGATCAATGTTAAAATATTTCATTCACTTTTCTTTTCTTTTATATCGGATTGATTTTTTTTATGAAATTCACTCTAAATCGATGAAAATTCATCTAAAGGTCTAATGTTCTAATATTTCAATCTTTTTTAACAATAGTATGATGAGGCTAGTTTAATAATAAGGACGATGATATGATTCCATCAATGTTTAGATGACCAAAAAAGACGTCAAAAAATGATGGTTTTCGACGACCCATCAATGTTTAGATGACCAAAAAAGATGTCAAAAATGATGGTTTTCGATGACGACTGAATATGAATAAAAAAAACCTTATTTTGATGAAAATAATTATAGTATAAAATAAAAAACTTAAATTTTATGTGAACGCCAAAATATCATGTCATCTTACCGTTAATATTTTAATGTTCCAGTGTCTTAATTGAAACGTAAACTAAAATTTGATGTTAAATTAAAATATTTTAAAGTTTAGCATTAAAATTAATACATGGTATAAAGTTTAGTGATTAATGATATAATTTATTCAATAAATAACTTTTGAGGTATGTTAACGTAAAAGAAAGAATCATTGTCGGCATTTTGAGGTATGTTAACGTAAAAGAAAGAATCATTGTCGGCATGGGAAGAGAGAGATGAGATTTAAATCAGGTTAGTAAGGAATCCCTATGTGAACAAGCAATCTGGTCTCAAGAAATCACCCGCTTCATTTGATTTCTCCAATTTTTCCATCACCTCCCTCGTAGGATTCACCAATACAAGCTGTTTTATATATTGAAATTTAAAAAAGAAAAAAATCAGCAATTTTCATTATAAACCCCCCTGCATGCATGAAATTTTCAATATCTGTCCCAGGAATCGACATTCCAATCAGTGTTTCCCATTGATACTCTCATAACTTTAGTTTTAAATTCACGACTTTGAAGATAATAGCAAAAGAACTTGCTGCGATGGAGATTGGAGAGACCGTATTAGACAGAGATGAAAATAACACCAGATAATGTAAACAACATATCGATGAACTCGAATCTGTCCATCTTCAAAATAGAATAGGCTTCCGGGGTGTCGATAAGGCCAACAACCAGCCCGACGTTCGGCGTTTATTGGCATGAGGAAGAGGTCACCATGACCGTTATCGACATTACTATGTCGGACACTGCTGTTTTCGCTCCTGCATTGTGATTAACATCTGATCCATAAAAGCTCAAGAGCAGCAAATGTCCTTCCTACTGCAATGCTTTCCTGTTTGATATACGAGGTCAAATTAAATGGCTACATATATGCTGTGGCAAATGGAGGCTTAAATCAACAGAGGACATCGGTTGGTTTTATTCTTTCATTAGTTTCTATTAAGTATTCATGCTTTACCTCTGTTTTCTAAAAGCTTGCCTGTTTGTTGATCCTGTTATTTATATTTTCTCTACATGTATATGCATGTATGTATGTGGAGAAGCTTCGCCTTATGAATATTGTATGATCTGGTT